CGTCGATCGTAACTCTCTCACGTTGCACGAAGAAAGTAAGTACACGCGACGACGACGACGACGACGACATTGTTGTATCGACTTTTTAAATTTGAACATGTGATAAAAATAAAGACATTATACTCCTTAATGACGCACGTGCGCGTGCGAGTGCAAAGAGCGAGTACATCATCGCATCTTTGTGCGTTCGTGTAAAGAGTACACTTTCCTTTTTTTATTTACTGATCCAAACGCGTAAGAGAGAGAGAGAGAGAGGGGCGCATCTCGGAAAATTTTTTGCATACATAATTAAAAATTGTGCAAACGATAGCTTTTTATAGCTTACTGTAAGTGATCGAATGATTATATACAATTATGCTGAGATAATGTAAAAGCTTCTTTATTTCACTTCTCATTCGATATAATACCTATGCCAATTACCGATTCGATCTAAAAATATATAAGAAACTAATCGATGGGTTTTAAAACTGTATAGCCTTTTGCAGCGTGTGCAAAATTTTCCATTTGGCTTATCGATTTCTTTTTTGTTCTCTTCCGCGGCAGCAGCAGCAAACTGTTGTTTGACGATCAAACAACAAATTTTACATCTGATTACAAACGTGTCAATCTCGGGGGATATTACATTTACAATGTTTAACTTGGCGTTTGAAATAAAACAAATCCGCGGGTGCTGCTGCTCTCGGGGATAGTATTCAACGCAACCGATAAAAATTAAATGTAACGTAAACGAAAGTGAGCCTCTCCGTGACTCTCTCTATACGGTGATATATGTGTATAAGCGCGCAACGAAATTCAATACCATTTTATGCACGATTTAAATGCATCCTTTGATCGTAAATAGTAATTCAACCTTGCCACTAATGTGCAACTGCATAATCTCGTATGTGTATGTGTATACACTGGCAAAGTGATATGCATTTGTTTTCACTCTCGTGTCTATATACGAGCGCAAGCAAAAGCAAATGTTTGAATTTTCAGCCCTTATCGCACTTTAAACTCAATAGCAATATTTCTCGAGTCTCTTTGCTTTTGTGCGCATATAAGACAACATTGAGAAAATATACGATGAATATGCATACGTGCGACTCTATCTTTTCAACTTAGACTATCTTCGTATCATATCGTTATTGATTCTTCCTTTACTCCGCTGTGTAAACGTGAGGAACGCGGAGAAGAACATCTTGGAAAAACTTTTCGTTTAGTCCCTTTATAAACTGATATTTGTCATTCTAATCTTTTCTAATCTTCGATAAAATCTCTGATGTACTGTTAAAGCGAAAACTGCGATATCTTCGCACCAAGAGCAAGTTATTTCATTTTAATTACAATCGACGTTAAATCTGTATTTACATTGCACGAAATTTGATTGGGTTTTTTCAACGTATGGATTATTTATGAACAACAACAACAGCATTTTTAAATTATCGGCTTAATAATAATTGTAACAATAATAACAATAATTTTATTTGTAATAAAAATAAAATAAAGTGAGAGAGGAATGTCTGTGCTTATATTTTTTTTCAAAATATTAGCAAGCTCAAAGGAACATATAAAAAGCTTATGCTCTGAACGAAAATATTATAATCAACCATTGACATTTCTCTCTACTTTTAATTAAAAATTTATTAAGACTAAGCAAAAATTTGGACTTACCTTTACATTTGACACCTCTTTCTCCAGTCCCCCAGATGTAATCCTTACCTGTAGCAAAAGTAAAAGAATACTTTAGAAAAATGTTACTGATAACAAAAAGACCAATTGATAAATTACTTACAAAAATCACACAATACCGGAGTTACAAAAAATACATTAATAAGCACGTGATCTGCCGACGTCGTTAGCTCTGAGCTTACAGGCTTTGCTAAATAAGCTATAAAATAAGATTAAAAATAAGTATCAATGTTTAATCTTTAGTGAAGATTAAGATAATAACTACTTTTATAGAATTTGTTCATTCAATTATCAATTTTGCAAGGTATTTCCACTTCAATAGTAGAAATAGACATTTATAATTTAAAATGAATATGGGGGTATAAACGTGCACATACCATAAGGCCCATTGCCAACAGATATGTATTCTGATTCTTCTTCCTTGGAGTTATCTCGATTCGCCATAGAATTACTTTTTTGAATCAGATCTACGAAAAAAAATTAATGTCATACATTTGTATTAAAAATGAAAATTTCAAGTTTCGTGTGTGAGATAATTGGTTCAAACTTACCAGTACAGAAAAAATGTATAATGAAAGTTCAGAATCCTGTTTTGCACCCTGCTATAGTTATTTCTCACAATTAGAGTAAAAACTCATTTATGCTACAGCATATCACAGCATACAAATCTTTAATAACAAAAAGTGAGTCCCCAATATGGATATGGTTTTCACTTATTATTTTTATAAAGATTAATAAAATATTCTTGATTTCTGATTTTGATTTATCTAAAACACCTTAATAGGCACATTAAGATTATAACTTTATCGATAGCAGTCTCAACTGTTTGGCAAGTATCCTATATAGATAACGTTGGCAGATTTAAGTTGTATCAAAATCTATGACTATAGTTTTACAAGTAAGATTCTTCAATTTATTGTGTAAAACTGGGATGAATTCCTCATATAAATCTTTACAAAAAATTGTACAAACTGAAACATAAAATTTATCAAGATATTAATATTTATGAATCATAGTTTTACCAAAATCACAAAAATTATTTGTTACCTTTGAAGTAGTTACGACTTATAAATCTTTAGTATACTGATGTATATGGTTTAAAAAATCCCTGATAAAATGTTATCAAAGTAGCTTCAAAACACTGGTCAGTCAACAAATGTCCAGTCAAGTAAAAAAGTTGTTTATAAAATTTTTGTTTATCAAAATTTCATACTGTATGTACACATTGTCAGGATCATGTCAATACTGAGTCATTCCTTCATCAACTATAAGCAGCAGACTTCTCGTTCATGTCTTCAAAGATGTATGAAGCTTTCAACAGGTACTGTCAATATCAACTTGGCTGCTTTGACTGCAATCAATAAAAACAGAAAACAACTATTAGTTTCTCAGCGTATGTACACAGTAGTAGTTACACACTTGGGACTATTCCCGGATAATAATATTCATATGAATGAAGCATCAAACACAATGTACATGATGATTTTCAAAACCTAAAATCTACTACTTACATTCAAAATGATATAGTAAATACATATATGACATATATATATATGATTCTAGTAGGTAGTATCTAACCTCTCGTTTTTCTGGAACCTATACTCTTCATTATTACTTTTGTGTAATGAGATAACCACACACTGTCTGGCTCAGCCTGCAGCAATGGCAATCGTTAATGCTCAGCCGAGATGAAGACGAGAGAGAGATTTCCATTTGATTCTCAGCGTGGCTTTTCTCTTTCGAAAAAACGCAGATAACCCACGACGATAAATAATCGGCGGTTATTGCACGGTATGTCTCATTTATGCACACACACAAACACACACACTACGCGAAATTTAACGACGCGCTTTTTCGGGACTCAGTAAGTCATGTACTTTTTGCCAATTATAACACCCGAGTCCGAGTGTGTAACGTGCTGCGGAGTCGATGATGTGCGGCGTAAACATAGAAGTTAATGCTCAATGACTCCGATTAGATACCAATGGTTTTAGCGGCTTGTATTATGTAGACGACGATTAGAACGAGCATCGGATTTTTGAACTGTGTGGATGGTTTGCGTGTGTGAAAAACGACGAGGATCGTAATTCGGAGAGACGAAACGGAATCATGTGCGAACTTGTCGTAAAGATTGCATATATATACATATATAGCTTACTACTATACAGCGTACACACGTAGTACGATAAAAATTTCGACGCAACACACACACACACACACACACATACATACGCATACAGTCACAAAGCACAGGCACACACTTACCGCGGGTATGAATTTCGCTCGCGTTACTCCAATGGGTCGGTAAAGAAAATTGTTCGCGGAGCGGTTATGATTCGAATACTGCTGAGTGCTGGCGGCCGGTTTACGTGTGCTATTATCATGACGAGATAGGACTAAACTGATTTTATGTACACACACACGGTTCGATTGTACCTTCGAAATCGAAAATTGTCAATGTCATAATCTCGATGAACGTCGAGACGCGAGTGTGGATATATACGCTACGATTAGAATTCGTTCGATAGAGAATCCGACCAAGTCCGTTAGACGGTTCGAACTGTTATTGAAAAATACAAAAGTTTCGCAATAGAAAAAAAAACACACGAAATTTGATATTTATGGAATCATGCCAGACAGGCAGTACGGGCGGCCGTATACTGCGTGATGCAACTTATGTACGATGGATTTTTATTTTATTTTTCTCTGTCTCTCAATATATGCATATATTTTGGCAAAAAAGGCAGATATCGGACGCCGGGGAGTCATCAACGAAATTGTACTTTTTTTGTTCATTATTTATTATATTTAGGATACGACTCGGCGAGACTACTGCTGTGTGCAGCATAAGCAGCGTCCGAGAAACATCAGTGTCCAGCGTCGCAGCTCCGTATTATAATAGACGCGCAGATGTAAATAAAAGATTTGCGCCTCGCGTATTAATGTCCCATATATGGCAGGTCACGTCGCAAATAATCATCGTCATCGACATCGTCGTCCATTGCGAGTGCGAGTCTCTATGTGTTTGTGTGCGTGTGTATACGTGTGTAACGGCTCGGCGTCGAGCCCCATAATAACGGCGCAAAACGAAGCGAGTCGTCGGCGTTGATCTCTCGCATGTGCAGTATTATAGGAAGAGGCGGTGATTCCGAGAGCCCCGGCGGACTCGAATGATTACACGCACGCATATGTATGCGACGAGGCCGGGGCGTGCGGCAGGCAGCAGCAGCAGCAGCAGCAGCAGCTAGAGGCCCCGAAGAGAGAGTCGCATGTATATGCGAGATAAAAGAGCGGCGCGCGTATGTACGCATCAACGCCACCAATTGGCCGATCGCTTGATGAATCCTAAGTGCAATGACATACGACGATTGTGCCGTGGCTGCAACGGCATCGGGCATCGTCGTAGGTATATTCGACCGCGGGCAAATAGTCGCTAGACAGGATCGCGTTCGACGCGTTGTCATACATAAGCGCGTAATATTTATTTATTTATTTATTTTTTTTTACCGTAATACATATATAAGTATATATATTAGAGAGACTGCCTGCTGATCTGCTTCTCTGCGAGCGGAGAGAGGCTGGATCCCAGCAGGAAATTGTCAACGAGTCGTTCTTTTTTTTTTTTTTTTCTTTCGTTACCTGCACCATGTTCGGGATGATTAGGCTGATCGTTTTGTTCGCGATCCTGGCGAGGTATAGTTCCACCTGCTCGGCTAGTCCTCGTAAGTATTGTTTATTGTACATTTCTACGCGTCTTCGTGAAAATTGCGAGCTTGCGAATCACGAGCTTGCGCATCGAGCTTGACAAATTTCTGGATTCAACCGTGTTCTCGCGTTTCATCGTTTTTCATTATTTCTCCTTCTAATTTTTCATTTTTGATTCCAATTCGACTTGTACTCGCTTTTCAATTAATAACCCACGATCGAACGATATACGTACTCTTGTTTGTTTTTATTATTTTGCGCTCGAGCATAGACGCGAAAGGCCGTACGCTACCCGCTCAGCTGTACCTGCTCGACGGCGACGAGTTGCTGCTCATGAATCTCACCACGGGCATCGACTCGCCCAGCATCCTTCACAAGTTCGTGAGCGCCGAGGACTACGACCTCGACACCGATCGGCTGCTGTGGATCGACGCGATGGCCCGCATCCACTCGCGCCGTCTCAACACGAGCAGCCGACCGTACGAGGATCGCCTCGTGCTACAGTACCAGCCGAGCGTGTCCACGGCGCGCATCACCTACGACCTGGTCGGCCGCAAGTTCTACGTGATCGACGGCGAGTCGCAGGAGATCGACGTGGTGGACGAGAGCAACGACTACCAGACGATACTGTTCGAGCGCGGCCCCATCAAGGAGGAGCATGTGGTCAGGGAGAAACCGAGGCGGATCGTCCTGGACTGCAAGGAGGGACTCATGTTCATCGTCACCGTGCTCAACGGCGTGGAGAACGTGAGAGAGAGAGAATTTAGACTCTAGAGAGAGACTCCAAGTTTCGATCATTGTATATTTCATTACGCAGATCTACCGATCGAACATGGACGGCACGTCGAAGAAGTTCCTGATCAGCGGCGCCGGCGGCGACGAGCTCGTCGTCGACAACCCGAGCAAGCAGATCTTCTGGATCAACGTCCAGGCCAAGGTGATCGAGAGCGCCGACTACGGGGGCGGCAATCGGGCCTTCGTCGCCAAGGTCCAGGCGCCGTCCGTCCTCGCCGTCTACGATCGTCAGCTCTTCTGGCTGGCCCACGACTACGCTCCGACCGCGAGCAGCGGCTCCTACATCAAGACGTGCCAGCTCGACGAGGTGGGCTGCGGACACAACACGACGAGGCCTCTGCTGCGGCTCGGCAAGCTCGTGCGTCAGCCGCGCTCGCTCAAGGCCTACGGCATCAAGTCGTTCCGCGCCCAGCAGAGCCAATCGCCCTGCCGGCAATCGAACGGCGGCTGTCGGCACATGTGCCTGCTCACGGGCGCCGAGGAGAGGGCCAGCTGCGCCTGCAACATCGGCTGGCGGCCCTCGGAGTCGGACTCGCGCGACTGCCGCATGGCCGACCGGAGGAACCCCGGGGATCGCGACGAGCCGAGATTATGAAATTGCTGGGCTTGGTGCGGAATCGTCGATTTCGTCGAGAAGATGCTCACCTTTTAAAGAGAGAGAGAGAGAGAGAGAGAGATTTAATCAATATTGAATCGACCGATTCGGCACCAAGCTCGGGTTTTTTGTTTTTTATGATTATTCGAAATATAATCAACTCGATGGTAGTTTAACAGTTAGGGTTTTTTTTACAGATATTTATTATTATTTTATTACATGTATACTTGAAAGAAAAAAAAAACGATATTTTATGTTTTACGTAATCCATGTAAATATTCGTAGCTTCATACGATGCGTTAGGGTTTTTTTTCTTCAGTCTTATGTAGCCATATGGTAAACGTCGATTTTTTGTATTTCAACAAGTTTATTCACGTTTTTTACATTTATCATTATTATTATATTTACATTTGTATTATGTGCCATAATATTGTATCAGATTATTTACATCTAATTTAATTTTTAATCATTATACATTGATTAATCTTATGAGTAACAGTTTTTTTTCATTGAGTCATGCTCCGTCTGGAATGTATATTGATTTATTCCGATTCTTCGTCTTTGTCATCTGACTCTTTGTTAGCTTTGTTCGACCTTAGAACGGTACCGGGGCTAGGGTAAGGTCTCATTTGGTAGAGCGGACCAGTAGCTGTACTGTCGACTCCAGTTTTGGCTTCGTTTCCTCTCACTAAACCATCTGACCATTTACCTCTTGGTATATCGCTGTAAGCAGCTGGGTCCATAGGATCTAGCGTTCTATCTTTCTTAGTGTTCTCCCTGTTCTTGTGATGGAACCTTCTGTTGTCGCCGCTTTTGTGTCTGTCTGATCTATCGCGATCTGATTTCTCTCTATCCGGTTTTTCACGATCCATTCTGTCTAGATCTGATTTTTCACTAGTCAATCTATCTGTGCTGTCTTTTTTATAGCGTTTTGGTTCTTCAACCTAAATAACAATGTCAGTCATCAATACATAATTTAACATCTTGTATCATTTGATTAATTCCGATTATTTAACCTACCTCTGTTGTTTCCTGATCACTACCACTTTCATCGCTTGAATGATCATCATCTTTTTCAGCCTCTTTAAGGTGTAACTCTTCTCTTAGTTGAGATGCAGGCTGAGAAATTTGACATTTCGGATGACCTGGTGGAAACCATGAAACCAAATCAGAAGACCAATCCCAATAATAATGTATTCCGCTGTTAAAAATAAAAAGTATTAAGTAAATGTCAATAACAGATGAAAATGAATGAGATGCAACATTTACAATACCTTCCAACATCATAAACAGCTTTCCAAGTTTCAGGTAATGGATATTTTTGAAGCAATTTCATTTGTCTCTTGAGATATTTTTCTGAAGGTTGGGGATGTCCTTTTCCCCACAATTCCTTACATTTTTTTGAACAATCGTGGTAGATGTTGTATTTATTTGGACATGCTGGATATCCCTAAAAATGAATAAAAAAAATGAAAATGTCGTTAAAAAAATACAAAAATAAATGCTGTTCAATGCTCACCATGAACTTTTGACTGATATCCACTTCATCAAAGTCATCTTTAACAACATCATAATCTTCGGCAATGATTTCTTCATGTACCCTTTTCTTCGGTTCCTTTTTATCATCTACAAAAATATTCAAACATCATTACACATTACGAACGAAACATCAACACAATTAGTAAAATAGACCATAGGTTATGTTTTTACCTTTGCCTTGAATTATTCCTCGCTTAGCTAATTTAGCTAATAATGCTGCTGGGAGAGGCATGTTTCTCGTTTAAAAAATAGTCAAACAATTGTGTTTTAAATCAAGTACAATCGAACACTGTTATGAAACTAATTCATTTGCTGCATGTAAACATCAAACCGACTGGATGTAGTCTGACAGTAACATTGCGCCTTGCGGCCTCATCACGCGTGGTGAAAACTGGAAAAACATGGAACAACTGCTGTCGATAATGCAGACTTGTGTACGAACTCTAGCAGAAGATGTTAACCTCCTGTGCATCGAAATGTAGAAATGTAAACAGAAGTTGCAGTACGTCAATTGTTCCAAATATTGATAACAAAAATAAACATTTTAAGTATAAACCGATAAACCGTAAAGGCATCATCAAGTCCATCTATAGCTCGATGCTTTAAATAATTACTTACTAGAAAAATCGAGTTGAATTGCAGTTAGTCAATTGTTAAATTTTATATGCTGTCGGCGAAGCGGAGCTTCAGCGAGTCGAAATAAACAACAACAAAAAGCCGTCAAAATGTCTAGCAACACTTCTAACGATAATTCAAATGCAATTTTACAAGACGAAGAGGACGTGGTTCTTGAAGTAATTAACTTGTGTGCAGTTGGCTAGTTATTGATTTTTTACAAGAAAATATTTGTAAGTGTTATTGTGTGGTTATTTTTTTTAGGGAAGCGCGTTACATCAAGCATTGACGAGCTTGGGATATAACAATTTTGATTACATACCTAGATATAGGGCGGAATGTTCGACGATTGAGAGCGATTCGCAAAATCCAGAAACTTATGAATCTAATTGGTATCAAAATCGAAGTTCTGTTTGGCAGTATTTTTTTCAAGTAACTAATACTTGACATAATGAAAAAATTGCGTTGTTAATTTGAGGATATTAATACAATTATTCTTTCACAACAGGATGATAAATTGAAAATGAGGTATCTAGAAATAATTGCAAATTCAAATGTATTGTTAGATGATCATGCGCTTGCTATACAAGGATTTTTCAGAGATCCTTCTCCTTCCGTTTATAAGCAAGTAGAATCCAACTAAATTTTTGCTTTAACATTTGCATTACAAATATTTTTAATTATCATTTTATTTTTTGATACAGAAGTATTATTGAATGGTTCCCTTACATTGGCTCGACCGTAGCTGTGACAGCTTCAAGCTTTTTTGAAAGCAGAACTAGTATTTGCATAGCAGTGATGGCATCAACAATTTGTTGTATGTTTAGCTACAAGGAAGTAAAAACGTGGATGTCTGTTAAAACTTTAAAAAATTTTATCACTGCACAAAATGATCTACATCAGTTAGTCAAACAATGTCTTAAAATTTTGAGGAGGGTTTATCGTAAAAGATCGAATCCACTTTTTTTGCAAGAAAAAAATTCGTAAGCATCTCTACTTATAAGATTAAATTGAATGAACAACTAATGTATTTTATGCTCTACCTTTTATTGATCATTGCAGTCTATTGGGAAATAGAAAATTAAATATTGTTACTTCAATGAAACAGGCACTGATAGAAATTTTTGAAAATTTATCTTCCATATACTACGAACAAGCTCAAGACATTTACGAATTTTTACCTGATAAGATGCAGCTTAATTGCATCTTGACAAAAATTGAGTTTGAAAGTGATAAAGATTCAAATGAAAGAAGCTATGAAGACATGAAAGTAATATAATTTATTATTCACAACCATATTAAAAGTTCAATTGTAATTAATTAATTTTTATGTTTTAGAGTTTGTACTACACATTCATTCTGGTTCAATCAGAATTGTTATTCATTATTGCAAATACTTACAATGCCAAAGAGATTAATACTTATGGAGTTCCTAATAATAAGCTTTTACAAATTATAAAAAGTCTGACTAATTTACTAGATATTTACCATACAAAACTTACAAAACTTTACATAGAATATCAAAAAACTGAAGTAAAACCAGTTAAACGAGTTTTCAGGTAATTTTTAAATTTAATTTTCAATATTATTGATAATTAATAGAAAATTATTTCGCATAACATTTGTTGTAGAGGTCTGCCGAATTCGAAATGGCAAGATACTTACATTCACTTAGATTTGACTTCTCAAAGAATTCAGTCTGCCTTTCAAGAAATCTCATCCATATTAGAATATATTGATACACATGCTGAATATGATGAAGATAACACACAACTTGCTGAATTTGCTACAGACAAAATGAACGAAGCTTATAAAATGATAGAACAAGCTAAAAATTTTGCGGAATTCTCTAGTTTATTAATAGCCAAGGCACAGAAAAAAGCTGTAAAAGATGTAGAGAAGGAAGAGAATAACGAAAATTTGTTCCCATTAGAAAATGATAATAGACGAGTTGTTGTGATTGATGACTATCCAGAAATACAAGATGAAGTATTTGAAGAATATATAAGAGAAGAATATATTCGACCGCTTATAGAAAGTAGTGAAGGTATCATGGAAAGTTTTAAATTAGACAAACTGTTGAAAAAAAATTTCATGAGCGAATTGAAAGAAGTTTTAATTGAAAAACAAAGAACTATGAAAGAAAGAGAGCTCAAGGCATTAAAACGAATGTACAATAAAGTTCGTAGGGACTCTTGTGCCTCTAGAATCGAACCAGGTAATAAATAAATAAGAAATTCTAATAAAAATTTTCAATAAAAATCACAAAATTATTATTTTTTTTTTCTAGAAATGACCAAATGCGGAGAAAATTTAGCTGCCTCGGTTCCAAAGTTACCTGGTACTACTTCAACACCAAAGTTGAAAGATTTAACTATTGTTGAAACTGAAAATGATGAACGACTCGAGGATAAAGAATTTTCAACTTCATCGCGGCCAGCCCCGCCGCCGCCGTCACTGCCACTGCCATCATTAGAAGATCCAGTAAGCTTTGAATCTTTCAGCGACGATAGTAAGGAAGAGAAAAAATCGCGTAAACCTGTTCCATTACCTCGAGTTAAAATGCTCAATACCAATGATGAAATTGGGCCGCTTCAACGCTTTTCCATCACTCAGATTACGCCCAACTTCAAGTTACCAGCTTCTTTTATTAAAACTGAAGAAACATTTGTGGGTAGTGGGGAGAATTCGGACGAAGAATATGTTAAGAGTGATAGCGAGGATGATGATGTGGTTGAAAATTAATAGTCATTTTGTTTGTTTGAGTGTTTGTTAGTTCGTTTGGTTGTTTTTTAACGTCTTTAATACTCATTTATTTATTGATTACAATATAATCACTTTATTTGCAACGTATACTATATAATTGTACATATGGATCTTGCATGTTATGAACTGTTAATGTCATTCCTTATTGAAAATATGGAATGTTAAATAAGAATCGTTGAGTCGTTATTTTTTTGATATGAAACATTTATGGTCTAATTGTGAAATTTTAGACAATAGAAAGAACTACTTAATTATTACTTGAGTAATTAGACTTTTGCAATAGGTAATAGCAATAAAAATCGTAATAGTTATTGCAATTGAAAAATATTTATAACAAATCAAAGTTATAAAAATACTTGATATTATAAAATTTGTCCTTTACTTGAAAAATCTACAATTTTATTAAATGTATCATAGTCGTGGATATTTGAATCTTATACTATAAATGTGTTAATAATATTCAAATTTCATTCGTTATGAATATGATTACGTGTGTTGAAATGTTGTAATCAACATCGCTAAAAATCCATTGCGTTCGTTATGTCTTAAAAAAGCATTTTTTTTAGCGATGCCTATATTATCGAAATATTATTGGTACACGTTAAAACATGATAATCACACACTGTTACCGTTTGTGTTCAAGTGCAAGGATTTGACACGAATTATAATTAACGCTGCTGGAGAATATCAGATTGTAAGTTTGCGAACTGAATGATCGCGATCCTCCAGTAGCTTTTGTGTAAAACAAAGACTCGTACACGATTGCATTTAAATTTTTCGATACAATAAAAAAAGTATTGTCAAATTTTCATATTATAAAAATATCTTCATGTGATAGTAAATTGCAGTAGAAAATAAATTATATACAGCGTCAAATATTAGATTACCAAAGTGCACATTTTTTTTCTGGATTCATCCTCGAGCCCAATGGACACCAGAATAAATAAACAAAGCTCGTGCGGGGGTGGATCCACGTTATCGGCCGAACGTCGGCAAGCGGCATCGATGCCTTCCCCCAGTCCCCCTGCAGCGACGTACACCAAGCTCACGGCTGTAATCGCTATAACTTGTGTATTTGGAGTAGCCCTCGCTTCGTGGGTCGGCAGCGTCGGTATCGCTGCTGCCCGTGGAGCAATTTCAACGCAAACTACACTCGAGGAGTGTCAAAAATTTATCGGTGCCGGTTCTCAAGCCGACCGTTGCTGTATACACTGAAACATTGGCGTTTGCGAAAATTATAATGATCAAGGCCAGGATGTGCGAGGTAAAGCTTAGAAATAACGTTGATTTTAAGAACTCGATTACGCATGGATATGATGATCTTCAATCAAATCTCTTAGGAAGCTGAGTCATAATTGATCGATTCATTGATATGCAAATAAAATTATTTACAGAAATTATTTTTGAAGTGGAGGTCGGAGTCAAGTTGAAAGATGTTTGTCATCATTTTCCGATAGACTCGAGAATCGTCTAAACTATTTTCAAATATTATTTTATACCTAAAAAGGAAGAGCAAGTCTACAGAACTTAAAATTTTCTATTTTCAGTTGCTAATATAAAGCATAAATTACAATAGCATTTCAGCACTTCATAATCAGGAAAACCAATTGACGAAGTTACATCGAATGCAGTGGGGTTTATCAACTCGTAGATTTATCAATTTTTTGCCGCGAGATTGTAAAAACGTTTGAAAGTAAATACAGTAAAGGTAAGCGCACAACTTCATTGCTAAACGAAGCTAATTTTTTTTTTTTTAATTTAATCTTCTTTTTTTTTTGAGCTTTGCAAACATCGTTGAGCAATGGCAGATACGCACAACGTATTTATATAAGTACGCAAGTGATCGACGAGCGGGCCCGCGCAGAAAGAAAGATTCTCTCTCGAGCTCTTCATCCCGTGCTGCTACTGCCGCTGCTTCGTCGTCTTATCGCCGCGCGCGCGGGTACTTGTACTTTTTCGAGCATAAAAAAACGTGAAGCGAAGAGCAGTATGTCTGTGTGTATGTAGTATAGTTGTACGTGCAACGTCAGCTCGTTTCACGTATATAATATATAGTCGCGTATACACAAGCAGAGATAGAGTGCAATTGAGCTTTCAAGAGGTGTGGATGATGTAAATAAGAAAACGACGACAACGACGACATCGTCTGTCGAGGTCCACGATGGCGAGCTTGCGGGAGTGGCCGGGTATACACACGAAAAAGGAGAGAAAGAAGAAGAAGAAACAAGTAAGCTCGCGCGAGGGGCCACAATTTTCATGCTCGTAATATGTATACGTCGTATAAAGCACACACGTGCTGGGCCGCACAAACAAAAGTTTATACACGCGCGGCTGAGGTGCAAACGAGCTGCCTGCTTACACACATATAATAACGTGTAAAAAGCTCGCGCCCGTAGCACCGCAGCTAGACCACAAAAACCAATATGAGAAGAGGGCGAGAGAGAGGGAGAGAGCGCAGGAGGAGGTCGAGTGTCTCGCAGCTGCTTTTGGCCTAGAAACCGACCTGCATTCACCTGTGCCACAGCATCGGCATCGTGCGCGCACGATGATGCATATAATAGCCAGGTTGACGCGCTTTATTAAAATAAATTAAGACATAACGATGCGATATGCCTTTATATATGCATCTGATAATTCTGCTGGATCGCGTCGCGATTTGGGTCACTTATATACAGCTTGACACGTGGAAGTTCGCAAGAGTAATTATATAAAGCGTCGATTGCGGTTGCGGTCAAATCTTTATACTTTTAATTCGAAATATTCGATCTAAAAAGTAAAGCCGTTTCTTTTTGATCGTATAACATGCCAAGTACATGTTTTCGAAATCGCATCCGATCAACCGACGTGACAGCTGCGACGTTCAAATTATATATAATGTACAAAAATCCGTGCCACCCGCACACGCGAGCCGCGAGCGCGAATACGCGAACTTTGGCGTATCGCGCGGTATCGCGAAAAAAGATGTATCGACGCGCTCGCCCGCTGCACATGATTGATGACACGAGAGAAAGATCCTTCCCGCACGAGCAGCAGCAGCGGCACCGCCAAGATCAAACGCGCCGCCGACTGTATAAAAGCTCGAGCGAGCTTGCGATTCGCGCGCGCGCGAGGCTGTGCGAGCGCTTTGATGGTTTTTGGATGTATGTATATCGTATATATGTAGATGGTCCATTGGCTGCGCTTATACAGAGAGAGAGAGCGCCGGCGCGCAACCGACTCGTCGCCGTATAGTAGTAGACCGTAGTCGCAGCCTCCCTCTGCTGCTGCGCTACGAGCATGCTCAGTCGCGAGAAGAGCCACTATTTTCAGTCGTGCGACGAAGCTCCCATGGTAAAGGCGGCTGCAGCAGCAGCATCAACTCGGTTCGTCGCAGGAGGAGGAGGAGAGGACTCGTTTTCATCGCGCGCGCACCACCACTGCCAAATGCGCGCCCCGTGCTTGTGCGCCGTAAAGCGATGTGTGCGCTGTGAACGCGTGTGCGAGTGTCTGTGTCTGTGCGCGCGTGTGTCCACCATCGCCGCAGCAGCAGCAGAGTAAAAGCGAGTGTCGAAGTGATCGAGAGAGGAAAAGAAAAAAAAAAGGGTATCTTGGCCACGACCGCGTCTCGAACGCGAGCTTTTCCGGCGTGAACTGTGCGACTGTGCGTATACCGCTTCGTCGGTTTCGAGTGCGAGCTTGCGGTGCTTTTTGTACACCGACACAGCCTTATCACACACACACACACGTACGTACGTAAGTGTGTCGTCGTAGTCGTCCGAGCGATCCCTCCCCCACGCACGGTGGCATCTCTCTACACCTACCATTTGTTTTCTCAACGAAGATATTTCAACGACGTCGGTATCAACTTGAGAACCCACTTGAACACAGAGGTAAGTCGTGCGACACATTTCAATGTTACCTGTGCTGTGTTTATTCTTACGATGCACATACACGTATATATCTATATGTACGGCGCTCGAGGAGCCGAAGAGTCACAGTAGTGTGCAGAGAGAGAGAGAGAGTCGTTGAACTCCGCGCAGCCTCTCGATATGTATATACGTATACGTGAACGTGCAGACACATCTTCGGAGGGTATAGAAATTTCAACTTTAGATATCGTGGGCTGCAATTCTCTCTCTCTCTCTTTCTCTGCTGCTGCCGCTGCTGCAAGGATATAGAAAATTATACACGTAAGCTGTTGCCGCAGGAGCTTGCAGCAGCTAGTATAAGGGAAGCGGTGTAAAACTACCATATATAGCTGGCGACGCTACGCGGTTTATATACGCCGTATATACATGTATAGCCCATGGATTAAGCCATAAGCCGGCGGCGCGCAGTTGCAGTTTTACCCCGACGATCCTTATACCCTCTCCTATACCTTCCCGCGCGCCGTTTCGGCTATACTGTACGCTGCTGCTGTCTTGACACTCGTTCATAAATAATATCCCACCAGCGTTTCTGCGAGCTGTGGAGCTTCTTTCTCGCTATATGCGAGAGAAAAGCTGAGAAGCGAGACAATTGAAAATAATCACCTCCGATGCGTGGTACAATTTTTTTACCCCCAGTCGTGTATTATATTTATATACACATACGATTGTGTTGCGAATGGAAAAAATTGGATGAAATTTTTGTAACGCCCCTGAAGGGCGCTCCGAAGATCGAAAACGCATGTATGCATATAATGGTGCGGTAAAAACGAAGGCACTTTTAGGGTATTTGACTGGCGAGCGTCGCGCAGCAGCAGCAGCTGGTGTATTTATTCTCGCGTGCCGTCGTCGCTGCGTGCATGTGGGATGTGTGCGCGCGGTGTGTATTTTTAACGGAAACGACAGTATAAGCAGCGAAGAAACACAGCGACTCGCCTGCTCGCACTTGTGCGCGAGTTGGTTTTCGGCCGTTTTTATTTTTATTTTTGATTCTCTCGTCGAGATACATATACTGTTCCCGCCTATGGAGTGCGTGGGTATAAAGCCATGAGCCGCCGTCGTCGTCGTCGTCGTCGTCGTCGTAGTCCAACAGGCATCTGTGTGTGTGTGTCTCCAAATACTCGGCTAAACAACGTCTTCTTTTTTTTTTTTTTTGCTCTCCGCGTGCGCAAACATCGCAACGGCCGTCGATCGCTCGTCGTGTGTATTTTGTATCGTTGCAAGCGGAAAAAGTCTCTGCGCACGGATTCGTGTACATGTGTGTGCTCGCAATTTTACGTTCGATCGAAGCTTGCGGTTATACAGCAGACTCGGATACGATTTATATGAAATATATAGAATATTATTCGAAGCCCGTGAATTTGTCGAAATAATATTTACGCGCGATTCCCCGCTCGTTTGAGCATATAACATAATATATTATAAACGTTACGAACGAAAACCGCATAAATTGTAAAATTTTCTGCCAATGTATACGTTGGCAGGAAATCAGCCGCAGACTTTGCACAGCAGTATGAACTGCGAGCTGCTGCTGCCACACTGTCGTATCAAAGTCTTCGTAAACACGTTCAATTAATCAGGTGTACGTACGCACGCCCGTATTCACTCTTTGACGTCCCCGCTTTGCAGCTTCGTGCCCGCTTCATATAATAATATAATATATTGCCGTTAAATAGAAAATCGATTGCTAATAAGCCGCGAGACTTTCACGCGCGAATTCGTTGCTGATTGGGAGATCGAATGTGCGTGCAGCTGATTAAGCGTAAAATAAAAATGGAAAAACAAGGAATGTTTTTTAATGGCTGGCGGTAAAGACTTGTTGATTTTGTGTATGCCCTAGTAAAAAGTATTCAACGTTTTCATGCGGCTAGTTCGTAGTCAACGAAAAAGTTTCAGAGACGTTAAAGGGTCTTTTAGTCCGGATATATAATAGCATATAGGGTATGCTTTTGCCTATATTTCACGCCAAGTATAGATCCTCTATCAAATAAGCGATTTTTCTTTGAACGACCAACCTAATACGATCAAAACCGCTCGTTACTTTCGCATGTTTTCTTACTTTGCCCCACGCACATTTATAGATAAAGGCGCTCGTCATCTAGTGGCTGGGCGAAGTTTTAACGGTTTCGTCTGAGTGTGTACATGCGATAAGTAGCTCATAGGTGTCTCCGGAATCTGTTTAAGGGAATTGTTTATCTCGCGGATTACCATACAATGCGATCACACAAAAAGAGAACTTCGTCACATAATTTTTAGAATCGTTCATAATCTTGACTTATACAATTATTTTAACGTTGACACTTGCAGATATACAGATGAGAGTATTTGCCATCTAATGGTGGAGACTCAAAGTGATATTATCGTAAAAGTGTTTAAAACTGGTATTAATCTTTTTAAATAATAAAATTGTTAACATCAGGTTAGTTAAAATGATATATCAACAAAGACAAGTTAATCAATGTTCATGTATTACACATGAATATTTAAAACATGTTAAATGTACATTTTATGGTCACTAGATCATTATCAATTTGAGCATTTCTATACCGCAGGGCCTCTCGTACAAAGACCTAAAGTTGACATTTTTGCAAAATTGATGCTTATCGCTAATCAAGTTGGATTTTTTTGAATCTTCGAAGATGAAAAAATTCAGAGATTCTTTTTCTGCTAATCAATTTCTGTTAAATTGTTTAATTATTTCTCAGCGTCTGTGAAAAATTCGAGAGATATCGAAATGAAAAAAAAACCGGACGACCGGCTATCTCTTGCTATTTTGCGCTAATTCGGGTCGCTGATAAAGGATTACAGACCCTCCCCAAAATTCTCAACATCACGAACAAAAAGTTTTTTGATACCAATGGTTTAAACAAACTTTTCTTAAACACACAAATACGGGAGCAAAAAAAAAAGGATTACCTTCACCAATACGAATTCGTCATAAACCAATCTCGAAAACTTTAACATATCCATACACGCGACCGACCGTAAGGATATGTGGATGATATACAGGTATATATCTACGCCGAAGCTCTGCATCAGCAGCAGCAGCAGCAAGAGAACACAGAACGAGAACGACTCGTTTGCCATATATACGTATACTCTCTTCTCTCTCTCGTAGCCGGCGCTCGATCGATCGCCGACGAGCTCGCGCGTTACTCGCGCGCATCACCGGAGTTTAGTCCATGCAGCAGCAGCATATAACGCGCACCCATACACGCCTTGTCTCTCTCCAGAACTGCTGCTGTCAGTCTCTCTCTCTCTCTCTCTCTCTCTGTGTCTTTGTGCGTGTTTGTACTGCACACACGTTTATATATATCTAGCTGCACACACTCACACACACATATAAACGAGCTTTGCAAGCTCTATATGCTGTATGAGGGGGGACGTCTTTCTTTTATTTTTGGCATTTTCTTACGATGTCTTATATCGCATGCACGTCACGTTTTCGCGTCATCGCGCAGCAGCTACAGCAGCAGCAGCAGCAGCAGCAGCAGCAGCAGCAGCAGCAGCAGCAGTAGCACGCGATCCCTATCACCAGAGACGATATAATATTTTATGTACACGCGCGCAACGGTGTTTATGGCGTAAGTTTGCGCGACGACCAAGTCATATAATGCGTATAGATGCGCGACGTCGTCTTTATCGAGGAGCGCGCTCGCGCTCGCTCTGGCAAGTATGGCAGAAAGAGCTGCGGCGTACACGCTCCTCATATACTTTATTTATTACGTTATCCCCGACCGAGCGCGACGTTTAGTCTCTTATTTTTCTCTTGATGGGTTATATATAAAAAAACGTCCAATTGCGATGCGCCATTGATTCATCCGCGATCGTTCCTTTGCGTATATAGAAATTCCGTATTGGAGCAAAAAAATGCGAAATTCATTCACTCACGTGTCGTCGAATAATACGCCACGATACGATTTCGAATTCCGATATTATTATATACGACGACATCGACAAAACCGATGCAGAAAAATTCGTATATAACTGAATAAAAGTATAAACGAGTGCGCGAATACTCGTATATACGCGCATACCGATGTATAATATAGGAATGACCAGATAATGGAATTTCTATTCGCGATCGAGTATGTATAGTATCGTTCGTCACTCGAGATTCGCATTTGTCGACTAAATGAATGGATCGGATTTACGCCAGGTGGAAATGCTCGACGTTTAATATAACGACTCAATAACGTAAAAAGGTGACCGTTGAAAAATATTTTGAAATGTATCGACGTTAATTAGCTTGCATTCCGTGACTTTATTGTTATAAACATCGAGTGACCATTTTAAATGATCTGGAAATGACGATTTTATCGTGTCAAAAAATTTAGACGAGCTTTAAAACCGCATTAAATCAAGAGGTGCGGTAGTACCTAGCCGGCCTTTTTATAAAATTATGTTAATAAAAATATATAATGATTAAAATAAGTTTATTCTATTGAAATCCATTGAAATTAGCCTCATTTAGCTAAGAAATGTCGGTTAGGTGCAGCGCACCTTTTCTATACATCTGCACGAAAGAAATAAAAAAAGGTAGTTCTATAGTTAGGGTACTTCCGGTGTTCCGATTGCTACCAAATAGGTATCATTCGATAGGAAATCAAAAATAATGAACCCATGCAAATTTTCAAATGGTTTGGTGCCACGTATAACACGTTTTTTCCGATTTTTTGTCAAACATGAGTCAACCACGAGATCTCGGGGAATACTTAACCGATCGAAATACTGATGCAAGATTTCGAAAGGTACACAGCTCTACTTCAATAGTTTGCTCTTAGAATTTTCAATTTCCCGGAAAATTCATCTCCTAAATCGATAATTCACTGAAGCGTCGTGTTAAGATTATGTTTCAAATGGTCATTTTTATGTCAATCACGAGATCTCAGCGAAAAAAAATATTGCGGGGAATTGAATGGTGTAATTAATTTTCAATTTTCACGGCTTTCCCGGAGGCTTGG